AAGATTTCTCCAAAGCACTTGAGATTTTCTTGGGTATTCAGGAACCAAACTCCAAAATTTATTTTGACATTGGCTGTCTCCATCTTCTTGACCAAGACTTTGATGCTGCTGAAAAGGTATGTCTGATCTGCAGGCTGAAGCATAAACACACAAATATTAACAGCTGTCGTATCAGCAAATTAGTCCAAACAAGAAACTCTTTTGATAGTTGCTGAAATACAATTCTCCGATATGCTGCCTGAAAGCGCAAGTCACTGAGAAAGGAGAAGTAGACCTTACCATGTTTTCTAGAGGAAGTGACAGTTTCTTTCTGTTTCTCAGGCGTTTGATTGCAGCATACGCAAGGATGAACATTTGGCCATTGCCTTCTTTCAAAGAGGAATCACTTTTTACAAAAAGAAGAGGCAAGACACACCTGCCTTTTTTCTTTCTTTCTTTTTTTTAAAAAAAAGGACCATATTTTTTTTTATGTTTAATGTTGTGATTTAAAAATGCTTAATAGTATATCATATGCAAATGTTTTAACTTTATTGTCTCTACGTAAAGGTATGAGGAGAGTTTAGCGGACTTCCAGAAAACCTTTAAAACACTCAGGGGCAACCAGCTGATAGATTACAAAGCGCTTGGTCTCAGATACATACTATATGCTTGTGATGTGAGTATTCTTGATTCTATTATTAATCCTGAACATTACACCTAAATAATTCATTTGATGTTATGAGCTGTTCATTCATAATACAACTTAGCATTCTTTTTTCCTGGCCAAGGACACAAGCTTAACAATGTCTCCACAGGTTCTCCACAATATGGCCCTGGTTGAAGCTGAGCTGGGTAACTGGGAAAAGGCCCAGGAACACCTCACGAAGGCTCTTAACTACAAGACAGAGGCCAGGTTTAATATCATCGACAAAGCTCTGCAATCAATCCTAGTGAGTTGTGATACAATCACTTTTGTCAACCCATTTAAATGTGATTATATTTATGATATCAAATGTAGTCGTTTCTTCATTCCATTAACCTATATTTGGTAAGTTGATATGGTTTATTCTAATTTTGCTTTAAATCAGGTGACAGGATAATGATATGCACATGACTTTAAGTGTCACTCACACTGAAATTTCACCAACAGAAGCAGAAACTTTTCAAACTGGTCGAGTTCCAATCAAAAGAGATGTTTAAACCAAATAAGCACTATGTTGCAGAGCTGGAGAAGAAAGACTACCTGGGCAAAGCAAAGGTGACTCATTACCCAGCCTGTTTTATCTAATCTAGTGTGATTATAAAGTTATCAAAAGTCA